ATAATTATTCGGGATTAAGAACCATTATAAGATCCACAACTATTTCATTAACGCATGTATTTTGTTTGAGTAAAAAAAAAAAAAAAAAATACGTTCCTTCTCCGAGATTTCTTGCCAACCAATGTTGAAGAGCTCAGTCTACCCTACTACAGCAGCGATAAGAGATAGATTTATGATCCTAAGTGCACTGGCGAGAAAGTAAATGTAAGGAAACTCAACTGGAATTCGAACACGGCTCTCAGATTTCTTGTTTGTTTCAAGAACTTACACCATCGGCGCATTAAAGAAAAAATATGAATATATTAACGCGTTTGATCCTTTGGAGGATTTGGTTATTTGAAAGAAAAATATGATATTTTCAGCAGATATTGTGACCTCGAATTATGCTTATATCTTTATAGTGTGATTTTATTTTTGGGTTTTTTAGAAGAGTAGATAAAAGAAGAAAAGGACGTATCGTGTCTCATACATGCGTCTTCTCAATATTTACAAAGCTTATTTTAGTATAGTACAATCTTCTATAGGATTATGTTGACCTAATATTTAAACTGAGAAGAATCTGTTAGTTTCGAGAACTCAGTATCCGAAATCTTGCTTTCATCTTGGACTGAAGACAAAAAAATTAACATCTGTAGGTAACACGTAAATATCTAAGACGCAAGACAGGTAAGAAACGAAGTGACGTTACCTAGAGTTAGTTTAGTATGGCACAAGGTCATTGGGGAGTACAAGGTCAAGATTTCAGTTTTTTGAAAGTCAACAAATGGAGAGTATTACGCCAAATTACTAAGGCAGATACGAACGACTATCAAAACCAAACACCTAAGAAGTCTAACGAAAGGGGTATTATTTCATGAGGGCAATGCTCCAACACACAAGTTTCAATAGCTGCTATGCATGACTGTGGCTTTGAACTGGTTGATCAACTTCCCTATTATCTTGATTTGACTATCATATATGTTCCCCAACATAAGAAAAAAACACTAGGCAGCGAACCCGTATTGTAATGATAATGACATCACAGCTGCTGTTGATGATTTATCGACAGGATAAAACGTCTTCTTTGAACAACCATAAGTCCGTTTAACTAGGAAGAAAACAATGCAGCTATTAATAAGAAGCGTTGAAATTAATGTATGCAAGATTTCACAGCTCTAGTATCAAATCCTTCATAGTCAGCCATGAACTTTTTATTCCACCCTCGTATATGTTTTATTTAGTTGTTAAACTTGAGGGTGTGCAATAGAGCAAGGTTTGCAAGCTCTTGCTAGTGATGTGAGCTTGATCTTTATGAGTGTTTCCTTATGTGTGGTAGCGTAAGGATTATAAAAACAGAAATTTGGATCGGCGATTCGGGTTCAAATTCTTACAGAGTCAGTTACATTTATTTCGCATTAATATGAATCAATCATTTCTCCCTTCGCGTTCTATAGATTAAGTAGCTGGATAAACTGTGCTATCAAGCCTTGGATAACAGCCAGTCTATGAAAAGGAATCCCCAAAGTGAAAACCGCAAAAAGACAACTGAAAACCACTCGACTGACGTTGCTTAAGAAGTCAATGGAAATTACAAATATTAAAGAAAAGAAACCTTTGGAGAGACATGACGTGCATAGTATTCCAAAAATATAAATTTACAGATGGAATCACATTTTTTTTAAAAAATAGTGTTTCTTGAAATTGACATCTTAGCTTAGTAGAGTAAAGTGCAAAATTTAGCGAAATAATTAGAGGAAGAGTGTCTTTGTGGCCTTTTAGTTACTTGCAAATATCGGAAAAATATTGGACACTCAAAAGATATCGATATTAATGGTGTTCGATGCTATGACACTGATAACTGCTCCAAGGAAGAAAAACGTTCAGGGATTGTTTTATTGTTCGCTTTGTACGTATATATTAAACTTAAAGGGAAACATTAATATAGCTATAGAGTAAGGAGGAAGACATTGGTAATTTTTACATCTCTCTGTACAATGCCAAAACTCAGTATAAATTTCAAGGAATCGCAGGGTATCACATGGATTCAGGAGCACCAAGCGCACCTAGGGAGGAGATACGATGAACCAGATTGATTTTTTTTTTTAGAGTTTCACTCCAAGCAAGGCGGGAAGCCACTAGGACGCAAGTGGTTACAGAATATTTGGAGCAAGATCAGATAGGAGTGATAGAGGAAAGGATGAGGAGAAGGATAGTGGATAGATCAAGACAACTGGAGATGTCGATTGGCATTACATTTGAATAGTTGGAGATTATAGCTCTCAGGGAAACTGGAATAGGGAAGGGAGTTCCACAGGCGAGAAGCTATTGGAGTAGAAAACACGGCTACATTTAGGAGTTTCAACAGTGAAAGGATGAGAGCGGGATGCCAGCCTCGTAGGGCGCATGAATTCATGAAGTCTGGGAACCAGCGAATGCAGCTCATCGGATCAATTACCCTGTTGTGTAGGGACCTACCACCCCTCTTGAAGATGAACTCGTCTACAAACAAAGACATAAAATAGTGGCATGTCAAAAGACAGTGTCGGAGAAGTTCTTGGCTGAGTTAGTTATAGACTACTCAGGCGATATCTGTACCAACTTACCAACCGAATAAACCCCATTTTGTTGTTACATGTTATTTGGCGTTTGTCTTTATTAACCACAAATTAACATCATAACATACCCTGAAAGTATTTGTAAAAAAGACAGAGAGAGGCGACGGCGCGTCTGTGGGGGAGCGACTGTAGACGAGATGCCAGAACAGGGCCAATTATATTGCATATCCGCCTCTGGATCTTATCAAGAACCCCGAGGCAAACAGAAGGGGCTCCAGACCATATATGGCAGCAATACTCCATGCAAGGGCGAATTGTTGATTTGTAGATCTGAAGAATCGATTCCGGGGAGAAAAATTTCCTGGCGCGGCACAGGGAGCCAACTTTCCTTGAGGTGGACGAAGCAATTGACTCAATGTATTTGTTCCATCTCAGGTCAGCAGTCAACGTGAGACCGTGCAGCTGCAGAGAGGTGATCTCGTGAAGTTGAGCGTCAGACATTCTAATAGAGGGCAGGGAAGGATCTCTGTGCTGATTAAAAGAGAGCAGTTTTGTTTTTGAGGCATTAAATTTGACCAGCCAATTCCTGCCCCAGTTCACAACCGATTGGAGGTTCTTTTCGAGACGCACGGCCAGATTAGTTTTGTCAGCGACACTACGTAACTATCAACAAAACGTTCAGAACGCAGCTTTACACTGTATAACATACACAATTTCCGCTAGCAGAAGCGACTGTCTTCCAGATGTGTGCTAGGTCAGAGTAAAATTATTTAAAAATACAAAAGCAACCGATAAAATGCTATAAGAAAGCCTCCTTGATGGCCCAAGTTGCAAGACGTATTAATATAGCGATAAAACAAATATAACTTGAGCGAATATAAATTCAAAGTGGAACATTTTGAGAAAAGCTCTTGTGACTTCGCTGAAAGAAAAACAAGGAAGTAACAGAAAGAGTAGATATCCGATATAATTTTTAGAGATGATAAAAAAAAAGCGTAAAATTATGCCAGGGAATGGAAAAATAATACAAGACACTAAACATAGAAATTAGCATAAAATGTCGACAGACTAAAGAAGAATGGCCCAATAAAAAGTGCGCAGAAGTATAATGGATGAGCAACACAAATAAAGCAGGTATATACAAAAGAATAAAAGAATTAAGAGGACAAAAGGTGGGATCATCAACAGGTTCAAAGGTGTGCTAATCAGCAGGATCCAAGTTTTACGTATCAACAGGCTATAAAATGAAAGTAAGTAATACTGCTAACATCAAAAGAAACGAATACTCCAAGGACGGAGCGAATATATCAGAGAATTATTTCAGCAGATCGACACTAGACAAAGTGAAGAGGAAGAAAGAAGCGGGACGAAATGGGATCTTAAAAGTAATGCTCTCAGCCTTAAATGATTTCGGCATCGATAGGGTCACAGAAATAATAAACGAAACATATAACAACGGAGGAAGCAGAAATAGACTGCAAAATGGATTTGATTTGATTTGTTTGTGTAATGGCATATCAATTCAATATAGGTTATTCAATGCTGAAATTTAATTTTCTTTGGAGTAACAAAAATATAATATACGTTATTTTGCTTTCACAATTGAATACATGGTTGATGATAATGAGCTTTTGTGCTTATAGATATTTGTGTGGTCATAATTACTAGAGACAGTGTTATGTGTGTTTTATGTTGTAGTTTTATTGAAGTTATATTTTGAAATACAGTTTGATTTCTATAAGAAATTGTAGGATATTATACGGATTAATATCATGTAAGTTCATTCATGTTGACTGATGTATTGTTGGTATTTTTTATATAAAAAATGTATTCCTGGTATTTTTACAATAAAGATGTATTATAAAAATATGGTTTTGATTTTGCTTGTGGATTCACCATTTGACCGCATTTGGGATACTAACAGGTCCTGAGTCAGGTTGGATGTGGGAACAACATCGATTAAATATCGCTTCCACGCCCCTCAAAACCTTCGATCTCCCGGTCAGAGGCCTTGATGCCGAATGCAGTTTAGAGTCATACAGAGGGATCTGGAAATAGGACAGTAACTGTACGGCTTTTGTCAAGGAGACCAGATCAAGGAATGCTATATTCATTATCAGAATAATATTGAAGGGAACAGTACAAATACAGAGGAAGGTTCACTTATAATTTATAGATTATGCTGAAGCATTTGACAAGGTACGACATAAAGATCTATTTGAACTGTGAGGGAAACTATATCTGTTTGAATTTTTTTCAATTGGTTTGTTTTCTATGGCTTAACAACTTTTTGCAGGTTATTTAAAGTAAGATATTTTTTTTTATTTTAAGCTGGGAGGAGATGAGGTAAATTCATACCTTTTTAAAGGGTATTTGCAGAGAATATACAGAACCTGACTTGAAATGGAACTCGGCTCCGATTAACAATTTTGAATCATTATCCATTACACCACCCGCACATCCAAGCTTACTGCACCTGGTATTCCCAAGCGGTCACCCATCTAGGTTACTGACCAGGCACGACGTTGCTTAACTTCGGTGATCGTACGGAGATAGGTGTTTTAACGTGATATTAGACCTGTCTGGAAAGTTTGTTAGAATATTCCATAACTTATACTGGACACAAACTACCTGCATACGGATAAAAATGGAGGAGGTAATCAAAATTAAATGGGCGTATAACAAGGATGTGTCCTCTCTCTCGAAGACATGTTCAACATATACAATGAGGGTATCCAAAGGAAGCGTCAGACCCTACCAGGACTTATTATCCCTGGGCGTAATCTTATCAGTATAAGATACGCGTCTGAAACTGTGTTCGTGGCAAACATAGAAGGAAAAATACAGGATATCCTAGACAGGCTAACAGAAGAAAGCGAAAAAAAATAACGAAACATCGATTGTAAAAAAACAGAATGTATAGATGTCAACAAAATAAAAAACCAAAGATGAGAACTCGTATTTGATTAAATATGGGAAAGAATGAAAAAAACGAAAATTGAACCAAAAAGCTCCAAAAAAGCAAAATCCAAAAAACAGAAAATAAAAAACAAAGGAAAAAATGCTAAACAGTTGTGGGGTATCAATCTTGTTGAATAATAGTAAATTCTGGACAATTTTCCCACAGTTAAAGAGAAAACGGAAGTCTGCAGAAAAAAACGTAAAGCAAGAATCACAGAATTGAGAAAGTATGCAACCCCTGAAATTCTTAAACAAAATGACCACGAAAAGCAATACTCAGAATCAGAAAGAGGCAGTTGAAATTTCTTGAACACATATTGAGGAAGGTAGGTTGAAGCACTTGAGCCTTACAGGAGACATAAAAGACAAGCGAGATGATGGACGACAGTACCTCATAACTCTGCGTGAAGGGATTACAGAATGGTGGGTGTTTGAGACTTGGCAGAGGTCGAAAAACTATTCAGAGCCATAAGGTATAGGAAGATGTGAAGAACCATGATAAACCACATCCTCGAGGGACACGGCATGTAGAAGTTAAATATTAAAAACATTTCTGTTGTCCGATTCTCACATAAATTTTACGAATTGGCTTCAAAACTGGCAAAGGCCAAGGATATTTTTGTTACATAAAAAAATATGTTTATCTTATCGAGAACAATTTGGCAGTTGATTAACTTTTCTTGGTTTAGCTTTGATATGAAAAGTCACATGTGTTGAATAGCAAGTAAAACAGTTTCCTAACAAGTACTTTTAAGAATTTCTTGATAAGAAAATAAGAAATTCAATCAATCTATCTATCTATCTATCTATCTATCTATCTATCTATCTATCTTGCTTTGGAACAAAATCGAACATTTTTTCCTTTCTTACAAAATTTTATTCCCAGGAAGCAGCCTCTTACAGATTTAAATGCAGTTGAAAAGAAATAATCGGCAAACACATAAACAATGACGCTGTTCGAACCGTAACTGGAGCAAAAACCAAACATTTTATTTAGAAAAAATAATTTTCTCGTTTAATTTATTTTTGAAACACGAGAAGTCTAGTGGAGTTTACACGATACGTAGAAAGGCAAAACTGGCCTTGGATGCACTGCATTCATATTTCGTGTTATTTCTTATCATTGTTGTTGGTTTTCAGCGTGATTTGACCAAAGGCTTACGGTCAAATCAATGACCGTTCTTGTTCGATCACCGAAGTTAAGCATCGTGAGCCAGGTCAGTACTTAGAAAACCGCTTGGGAAAACTGTAAAGCCCCAAAGTCCAAAGTCCAACCCTTACCTCACAGTCGGTGGGGGTGTAAACGGTGTCAGATTTATGCCGCCCGGAACTTCGTTCCTGGTAGAAACCACAAAGGCGGACAGGTCTGAAACACACGCCGGAAGGGCTCTGGTGAAAATCCAAGGAGCGTCTGCATCGGTAACCGGCGGCTTCTGGTCGTTCCTGTCTCTGCGTCTGTGGGAACCCCGCAGCAAAGAACGTTATCCGAGTAGGCCTGGGTACCCTACTTCTGTAATTTATCCCAAGAATCTTTTCTCATAACAGAAAGAAGCCGGCTCAATCCGCCCAGGGTGAATGCCGCATCAGTACATACAGTAGTAGTATTGTTGTTGATTCCTCTGTCCAGGTCACGTAACTGCAGCGGATCAGCTGCAGGCCAGCCAAGCAAATGACTGTTCTTCTACCCATGGCTTGGCCTGGGCTGCAAACCAAATCACTTTATTTTTTTCTATACCTTATCCGTTTGACTACTTCTTTTAATCCATCAGAGTCTTTGGTCAAACTATCTCAGATATTCAAGTCTCTACACCCTGGAAAGGTAAAATCGAGTTGTTTTGCACGAATAGCTAATCAGTATCTGAACATAATCCTGTTTTATCTTGTCTCATATCTACTTGCCAATAATTAATTATCTGTGCAAAAAGTCCAGTGTCCACTTAAAATATTTTTGCTTCTCGGTTTTTCTATTGATGGAGCCTATGATCGAAAACAAAATGTCGAATAGTCCTTGATGTTTTCTTAATTTCTTTTCCCTTTCTATCTTTATTAAAACTTTCAAAGAACTACGTCTGAGTGAAAAATATATTTGTGTGTGTGACGTTATCTTAATAATGTTTAATACGAAAGTAAATGATTTATACGTAAAATTATTATTTACACTGTTTACATAGTTTGTCCTGTTGTCCACAACTTTATTGCTTTTCGGTCGTTGTATGCTCCATTCTTATTCAGGTGATATACGTGGAAATTTCGAAACGAAACATTTATTAGGCGACCACTGAACATTAATATCATTGTATGTTCACCCGTCGGATCATTTACTGGTAGACCTTTTCAAATATTCCTACGCGGCATGATTTCGCAGCGCCTCCATGACAGGCTGCATTTTTAATGTCTGCTGAATAAACCAATTGTTATAGGTGGCATCGTCAAAAGTTCCGCCGTGGTGAGTGTTCAGATGATGAACGATCCTGCCTACTTTGCAAGGGATACAGTTACAGGAGCTGCTCTTGAAGTACGCCTATGCAATACTATAAGATGTACGACATGCTAGGTTCACTTGACGTGTGCTGATATTTGGATCGTCTTCGAAAGCGTGTGGAATGTGTTCTTCCTTGTCATGCGTACGAGCGGATCTCGGTCTTCCTCGATCCATATTTGCTGTTGACACGTATCCTGTTTCAGCAATGCGACGGTAAACCGCAGCAAGGGGTGGTGACTCGGCTGGCTTCGGTTTGGAGACGCAATCTGATAAAGCTTTGCTGCCTCGAGCCCATTACCATTCGTTCGGCCGTATGTTAAACTCATATCTGCCTACTCACAATATAAATATCATGCTATAGTTAAACGGAAATTCTCAGTTAACTCACTCCTACACATATTAAACATTGAAGACAGACAAATGACAAATGTAAACTAGTCTACATGGCAACTTAGCGTTATCTAACATAAACTTTCTTTAATCTTAATGACTCAAAAACGAAGGATTTGCAGGCATATGTTTATTTTGGTGTGAGGAACCAGCCCACAAAGTTAATAAATTATATTTGATACTCTCTCTCTCTCTCCCCTCTATATATATATATATATATATATATATATATATATAGTCATCCATATATAGACTGTTTCACAGCTCATCAGTGTAGCTAGACGTCCGGTTGCCTCAAGCTAGGAATGAAACCCGGCTGAATTTCCGTCAATCGGAGATTCTACCTCACACACACACACACACACACACACACACACACACACACACACACACATATATATATATATATATATATATATATATATATATATATATATATATATATATATATATATATATATATATATATATATATATATCAGAGAGGAAGAGAGGAGAGATGAGTCCGGGAGAAGGCTGAAAAATAGTGATTTTTGGTGAAATGGAGGTACAATCAGTCATACTTGTTTAGCAACAGTGTGTAATGTTACTTATTGTTATATTAGTGAAAGGGCGCCTCGATGTGGTGTAATGGTTAGCAAGCTTGTCTCGCTAGAAACAATTACGACTGAGTAGTGAGTTCGATCCTCATTGGGTGTCCCATACTTTCGGCCTTGTTCCGCATCTGAGCTGCGCTTGGAAAATTGCTATATTAGTCAAAAGTTGACTACGTCTTAGTAGTCGGCTTCCAAACTTAGGTCAACATAAAACTTAACTATCATTGAATTGTAAAATGTGCCATCCTGATATGATATATCAATTTATGATTCTCCTTTGGATTCTCACTAGGTCTAAACTAATTAGGACGCGTGGGCAGGCACACGAGCAGAATTCTGAATGTTCAATGATCGCCTAATCAAGCTAAATGAACAAACATATCGTTGCATAAGGTAAAAAAAATTGAAAGCTGCAAAGTTCTTACTGAGATCAATATGCACAACTTTCGGGCATTAGTTGTTGGAGTAATTAGATTTTAAAGCAATGGAGGGTGAGGATAGAGTTAAATGGAAAACTAGAAAGAATGAAAGGGACGAGATAAACAGAGTAGAAAAGAGCGGAAAAAAAAGAAAAGTGCAGAAAGAAAAAATACGATGGATGTAGATTTTTGAAATAGAAAGAATAATAGTATGGCAAAAGAAAACGTAGGTGAAATAATTGAAACGATACGAATAAACAAAAATATATGTATATAGAAAATATATATAAAAAAGAGGAAGTTATGAGAAAAGGTACAGAAAAACAATTATAAAAAAAAAGCAAAGAAAGAAAAGAAAAATATATTATTTACGTCATTAAATGATATTCTTTTCCAGGGGAATTTCGAATACTTATTTTGAATGCTATCTTACTTTCGTTGGTTTTACAAAATCTTCATGCATCCGTTTGGCTTTGTGACTAACTAAATTAATATCATTACATTTCAATAAATGTATATAAAAAACCTCACTGTACACTGGTTTAGTTTGCTTTATTGTGTTTTACGGCATATCAACCTCAATGGGTTATTTAAGGCCGACAAGATTTTTAGGATAGGTTCGTATGAATAGATTATGTATTAATTGTTTTTTAAATGTATTGTTGTTATTTTTTTCCAAAAATATATTGCTGGTGAGATTTTTTTCAAAATCGTATTGCTGGTAATTTTATTATAAAAATATATTTTTATACTTTCGTAGTGGTTTGATCCCAGTTTGGATGTTAACTATTTGCCCATAACTGGGACCCTAACAGGTGCTACCACCGCGACTCAGGGTGGAACTCGGAGAAACACCAATTAGGAGGTTATTTCACGCTCCTTAAAATCTCTTGATCAGAGGCCTGGCTGCGAGATGTACTTTATCGTCAAACCCAGTACGCATTCTACACTTTATAACACTAAGCCTCATTGCAAGGATGTCAGCAAGAGGAACAGCATATGATCTAAACTCCGAATCCGAGATGCCAAAATAAAGCAGTTACAAAAATTTAATTGCCTGGGAAGTATTTAAACAAAGGACAGATAATGTGACACCGAAATCTGAAGATTTATTAGAACAGCGGAAAATGCCATCCAAAAGCTAAGGTATGTATTAATAAACAAGAAAGTACCGTTGGGAACAAGGGAAGGTATGTTTAAATGTTATAAAATATTCATTCTCCTATTTTGCAGCAAAAGCTGAAGAAAAGGCTTCAGCTAATGGAAATAAGATTATACAATAGTATACTGAAAATGGATTGAGCATGTGAGTAACAAGTAAATTTTAAGGAAAATGGATACAAAAGGAAACATTTACTTAGACACAGAAAGAGACAGAATCTCCCGAACAGGAAAGGGGGCTTGAAAAGTTTTCACACACAGGGTATATTGAAGGCAAGAGGAATGGGAGAAAACAGCGAGTAACGAACCTAAAGTGGTTTTGTAAATGAAAAGGAAGTTGTGGAGAGCTATGATTGTTTAAAAATTGAAGAGACACTGCAAACAGAAGAAGAAATATATAAATAACTGTCACAATGAAATTCAACGACAATTAAAATGAAAGAAATATATCAAAAATTAAAAATGGTCGACAATACTTATCTAATAAAATTTTCAAGATGATGTGAAAGCAGAATTTTAAAAGGTAATAAAAAAATACTAAACCCGTAAGCAAGAGAAAATCAAGAATATAAATATTTTATTATTTCTTATTTTTCTTCAGTACGTTGGCGATCATGGCTTTTCACATTTTCCTATCCTTTGTAGCTCTCAGCAAAATGTTTTCTTTTTGCTGTCACCTAAACCTTGTTGTGTCATGCATTTACACAAGTTCATTAGGTAGGTTATGCGCTGTTTACCTCTCTACCTCTTGCCTTCAATATATCCTGTGAGTGCCAAATTTCCCAAGCTCCCTTTCCTCATTATGCATCCTTGGAATTTCAAAAGTCTCTTTTTCATGTTAATTATGTGTCTTTTTTGTTTCCATTTTCTCTAAAATTTCGTCGTTGCTCATATATTCGGTTCACGAAATTCTCAGCATCCTTCTGTAGAACCACCTTTATGTTGCTTTAAGTCTCTTCTTGATTCACTGTTATATAGGAGGACATATTTTATATGACAGTTCAGTACTCTTTACTGTGCATCTAACGAAATTTTCCTGTTTTTTAATACTTTGCTTAAGAAACCGGAAGCCATTAACTAGTTATGAAATTCAACGGATAAGAGTTGTTAGAGATTTAAATTATCAAATAGAAAGAAAGGAAAATGTCTATATGAAAGGAACAAAAAGAAGAGGCATGATGGGATTGATGATAGGATTCTATATGATGAAAAGATACGATGGATAAATAAAAGAAAGAAATATGGTTTAACTTCAAATTCCAGAGACATATAAAGAAACACATGCCAAAAAAACAAAAAAACAACAAAAAAAAACATAATATTATATTAACGAAGTGTACACGCAATGTATTCAACAATTCTAAAAGTCAAGGTAATCCGTTGTGCTGCCTTGATGCAATATGGAAGCACATCAGTGCTTGTGGTTTACTGCTCACTCATTAACAATCAATTGTCTGGATATCAAAGGACAGTGAGATGCATTTTCGGGCGAGTAAGAGAAACGATCCGCCTAAAATATTGTTACATTTGTACCGTGACACTAATGTCAAAATCCTCATAAATACGTTGGACACTATTGTCAGTGGGTGGGGGGATATGCTGCCTAAGCTGTCAGCGTAGGAAGCTCTTGCCGTGTCTAACTTTCTGCCTTCGAGCAGAGAGGGGCCCGGACCAGGCTATACCGAAGGGTAGAGTCTCGTCCGGGAAGGTAGACAGATACCCGATACCGCATATACGGGATCTACGGACAATTTTTTGCTGGAGCCCACGGACTCGGATTTTCATTTGGCATTGTGCCGCACCCTACTTCGTGGGGAGGCAAGTAAATATCGAAATATGCTGTCTAAGTAGTCCACCACTAGCAGTGGCTTACATACTTTTCACCGCTGGCGAGTATTGTATTATGTTGATGTTATAAAGATAACCATTTCATTTCCAAACTCCGTTTTGGTTATTCCTCATTCAATAACCTTACCCAGGTTATGACAAATACTGTTAATAAAAAGCGTATTCAAGAATGGATTTTCAGGTGTAATATTGGTGATTATTCAGAACTTTAAAGCAAGTTGTAGCTTTCACGTGAACACCTTACGAGGTGAGATAAAGACCTTGTGATATTAAAAATAAGGCATTGAGACCTCTGAAGATTATAATAATCCCAGATTAGATAAAATCTGGCGCTTTTAATGTGTCTTTTTAATGTAGTTAAGTTCCAAAATGGGAAGAGCGTGCGGAAGAGGAAGAAAATTATTTCAAATGTCAAAAACAATAGCTCAACGTGAAGTCGAGTAATTTCTAAGGTCAAGACATTCTTCCCAAGACACCCCTAAGAAGAATGTTGATGTCAAAGCAACGCCCCAAATATACACCTATGGCAGCAAATGTCGCTGGTGGAGGTTAAAAAGTTTGGGGCTGCATGAAAAGCAACAGTACAATAAAATTAATAAAGATTGAGGGAAATCTGAAGAGAAAAAATATAAAACTATTGCTAGAAAAAGGAGATGAAATCTGAATACTAGAAGCCTTCGAATAATTTCGCACTAACATTATTTGCTCAATAATACTCACTTGAAAAGTAGCCACTGTATAGTGATCTGAAATAAAGACATAGCATTGTGAATAGAATAGAGAATAGCGTATAGTGTAGAGGATAGACTAGAAATAGAGATCCTTTAGACGTCACGTGACTTTCGTCTTACGCATTTCTTCTATGATCACGTGGTCAGTAATGGGATCGCCTGTGTTTGCTCATTGGCAATCTATGTTCAATCTCAAGTGTCGACAGCGACATTTTATTCCTATATAATAAGAATAAATTGCCAGTCCAGAGATAATAACAAAAAAAAATGTAGAGAGTCAGGATCAATCATGTTCTAAAAAGACATGATTTTAGATAACAATTAATTTACTTGTGGTGTCTTTAAAGTGTGTGCAAAAGTTCCCAGCGTTTGTGAAAACTAGAGGCTGAGTTCATAATAGAAACAGTTTTTTTTTATTAATAATATAAAGCTTGGAAAACATCACACACATCTAATGATATATTTATATATTTCAGTGCATGCATTTGGATTATTTCGCCCGTTCATATATTTCTCTTTCTGTCTTTCTTAATCTATTTATAATGGAATTGCTCACTCTATTCCTATCTATCTGCTTTATTTTTACGAATATGTTGCTAGCTATTTGTTCTCGTTTTCTGTATTTGCTGTGAGACAAATTAGAAATCATGTTTTAAATATCAAATATCAGAGTTTAGACGCCGTTCTCGATCTCGTGAGAAACTAGTGAAACATAATCGTTCAAATGCGTGCAACTTTAAAGAGAGCACCGCACATCATGTTGAAGGTGTCAATAATATGTTTTCATTCATCGTATGAGGAACATGTCATAGTACACACAGAGACAGCATGTTCAAATATTGAATCTTTTAATAAACACATATTCATTCTACCACACAAGGACATCTTCCAGGAAATTGTTGTATTTAGTGACAACCTCGATCTTTACTTCACGCTGTCGCCAGATCCTGAATTTAAAATGAGTTACTATGTAATGATATAAAGGCTATGCCAATTCTGTTAGCATTAAGTAAAATACTTTTATTATCATATTTCTGCTAACCCTGGAGTTATTACATTCATGTATGTGAGGATTATAAAAATTACATAGAACTTTGTTTTTTGAGCTTGGAATTTAAATAATATCTCAATTTGTTCTTTATCTACAGGCACGTTTTATAAAAGAAACAATGAAGATGATATCGATTTCAATCTGTTTTAATTCTTTTGAAGACTCAGAAATTTTCTCCATTTTTCTCCTGCCTGGAGAAAAGATTTAGTTAAGAGAATTGTGCATTACAAAAGAAATTCTTTCTTATAGAAGAAATAGGATATGCACTTCATATACGTCACAATCTCCGGCAAATATATAACATATAACATTTTCATTTAACATCTACTGTGTTACTTAAGCATATGGTCTATTCATACATAGTGTCTTATAAGAAAACCGATTTTATTTTACAATCAATAAACACTCAATATATTTTAATTGATTTCTCGCAAGAAGCCTTCACAAGTTATAGACCTTATTTTTTTTATTAGAGAAGGCGTTTCCTGAACGTATATTGTTCATATCTTTGTTCTAGAAAAAGATTGACAAGTAACCGCGTTTTATGGGCGAATGTAGAACATTTTCAACAAACAACTTCATGCAGTTGACAATTTCTTCACCACCTTACAAAACCATCTTTGAGAAAAAAAAGTGAAATATTTCTAAGGATCTTAATTCGATTCACACGAATCTTTTATACATCAATATATCAAAAAAAAAAAAAAAAAAAAAAAGGAACAAAAAGAAAAACTACTCATTTTTAAATCATTTAACACCAAGCAAGGCGAAACTTTCACTAAGAAAAGGGATTATTGGGAGTGGAAGAGAATGAGAAAACTTTAGGGAGAAGAATGGATAATAAAAAACAGGGTTCAGAAGATAGAAGATGGGGATCGACGTTGCATATAAACTTTTGAAGATTGTAGGTGTCATGAAAGCAAGACATAGAAAGAGAATTTCACTGGTAAGAAGTGGCAGAAAATAAATTATTAGAATAAAACTTACGGTTACATCTAGTTCAACATTAAAACGATGGAACTTAGTAACCAATCTAGTAGTACTCTTATATTCATGCAGTCGAGGTACCAATGAAGAGAGCTCATTAGAACAATTACCGTGAATACATTTATAGAAAAGATAGAGGGAAGCTACATCACAATGGTTGGAGAATGACTGAAGTGAAGATACCAAGTCAAGACCGATTACATTGCAGACTTTTCTTTGAATTTTATCGAGAATCTACAGTTTATAGCCGAGGTACGAGACAGGATATGACAGTATTATTCCGTGCATGGGGGAATAGTAGAGTTATAAACGTGCAAGATGAATTCTGACGAGTAAAATTGTCTGATATGGCACAAACAAACAATCTTCTTAGAAGCAAACTTAACAAGTGATTCAATCTTATCGTCCCACTTCATGTCAGTAGGAAATATGAGACAAGAAACCGCTGGAGGTTAGCATCAGCCATAATGATGTAGGAGAAAAATAGTACTGAATTGTTATCCAGGAATAAAGTGTCGCTGGCGACACTGGAGTTTGCGCATAGATAGCCAGAGAGCAAAAACAGGCAATCCCATTTTGAATAAGTAGATCACGTAATGTTAAAAGAAGTGTATATATTGGAATTGGCTTGGCGTCTAATTGATCACCAATGCTACACTATCCTCTATTACTACACGGATTGTTATTCGCTATACTATTCACTAATACTATTTCTCTATACTGATCACTATACGGATTACTATTCAGATCACTATTCGGTGGTTACTTTTCGAGCGAGTATTATCGAGCAAGTACTATTAGTGCGATCGTTATTCGAAGGCGTCAGACATCATTATTGCTCAACAGCGTTACTATAGTTATATCTGCAATTACAAAGTCTCTATTATAACGAGCATTCCGAAAGTGACAACGAGTATTTGTTGACATTACAAAAGTGGAAACGAGTGTTCGCTGACATCATAAAATCAATGATGATTAAGTGATTGCAGAGGCGTTAAAATTCACAAGCAATTTCTTGCTCCAGTTAACTACAAAAACCTAGTATTTACACGTGTGCATAAAATATTTGTGGCTATAACGCGTTGAAAACAACGTCAAGGTATTTAAGGAAATTGTCAATATGGCTATGAACATAATTAAGAATACAAGCAAATCATGGAGCTGTAAAAATGTTTTACTATGAAAGCTACTTATATATATATATATATATATATATATATATATATATATATATATGTGTGTGTGTATGTATGTATGTAAAGTTTATAAAAAACGGTTTTTAGTCTGAAAAAATACATACGCTTGCGCAATTTGTTAATTGCAGATGAACCCGTTTCACATTCTGTTCGAGTGTGTATACCGATAAATTTCATACCAAATCCATATTTTCCTTCGGGTTTGTTTTATTCACTTTATTTATTTTTTACAGCTTATCAACCATTTGTATGTTATTAAAAGCCGATAAAAAAATTGGGTTGTAAGAATAATTCTTTTTTTGCGATGAAATATTGTATTAAATATTTTTGTATTAATTTTTTTAGATAATAATGATTATCAGCTATAGGCCTTACTATTTAACCCATATGAGGAGAAAATTTGGATTCATACCTTTCCCAGAGGTATTTCCGCGGAAGTGAATCTAATGAACCCGACTGGAATTCGAACTCAGCTTTCCAATTTCTCTTTTCGAGCCGTTATCCGCATGCATATACAAACTGACAGACCTGGTATGCCCAAGAGGCAACCCATCTAGGTACTGACCAAGCTCGATGTTGCTTAACTTCGGTAATCGAACGGGAAGCGGTGTTTCAAGGTGAAATAGCCGTAAGCATATTTTAGGATTTACAATCATCATCAAGTTCAGTCCGAGGTGCCACACCTTTATCTTTCTCCTTGCAGAGAGATATACTTAATCCCTTTGCGCCTGACATGCACGCAAAAGTGAAATAACTAGGAATTATTTTTGCCCTTATATTCCTATGAACTCGTTTTCTTCCCCACATCCTTCTGAAGCTGATGTACTGATAAATCCCTTCCTGAGCACTGCATTGTTTATGGTTTTACAATTAAGTCTTGGTAACCATCCCTTCTTGCAATACAAGGCGTTTTACTTGGGATAGGTCTAGGGTTACTCTGGCATATGAAATTTTCTCATACTTGGTATTGGCGAAAGGAGAATGGCCTGTGGTACCATACACACGTAAGCCACTTTAAACGCAGCATTGAGCCATATTTCATTTGATAAATATCATACTATTAAAAAAAAAAAAAAAAAAGAAAACAAAAAAGAAAACAAATCAAACAAAAAATAAACAAACCAAAAACACGCTTTTTATGGTTTATATTTATGAAGAGGCCATCCCTGAAGGTAGTACCTATCTCACAAGGAGGATCTGGGATTAATTCTTGGCACCTGAATGATAACCAAAAGTGGAAATGCCGAGGCCGGTTTTTGCCCCTAGGCCCAAGTATTCTTGCGACTCCGATTATAAACCGGGCCTTGTGCCATATTCTTTTCAAGTGTGTCGGATCTCCCCCATGATAAAATATAAATTTATTTGATGTCACAGTTCAACTTTTTATTCACACGCAACAGACACACAGGGATGCACAGAAAATCAAATTTATATATTTAATTAATTTTCAATGATTTAAACTGCCACAAACTAATATCAGTGTTGACCATTATTTATTAAATAAAAGATCAAGTCTTTCTCAAGTGATTGGTTATTCATGATTAGATGTATTTTCTGATTTATATGTTTTTATCAAGTAAATTCTGAATGGTATTGATTTTCATTCTTCTCGATATTGTAGCGACAATCACTGTATTGTTGTGGCTTTGTGATAACTTAATTTGTGTCTGGTTTAATTAATGCATCGCTTTATACGTCGTTTATTAGAATGCGACAATGGTAGAAGCATGAAAAAATCGTCGAAAGTACTTGATAACATTTCGAAAACGTAGAGTTAGAACATAAATTGAAACAATTACGACCCAAGTAAATTAAGAAAATACGCAAATAATATAACAACTGTTGAGAATTGTACAAAGGATAATTCTAAGTATTTTACAAAGTTGAATCAACAACTGAGCCTGTCACATCGTTATTAAAACCTCAATTCTCGAAAACTTTCAGCATCAGCATCAACTAAAATGACTAGTAGAAAGAAAATTAATGGCATAATCAAGATGTTGACATTACATAATACATTGAACAAAAAGTTACTTTAATCAATGGATGCCAGTGGACATGATTCACTTCTTTCCCGGAAAAAAAATTAACAAAGTAGAAAGATTTTTTAATATTTCAACTGTCATTTAAGTTGTTTTTTTCATTGAATGCCGAACGATTCATGTATAGAAACGGCTATTTTCACCATTTCACTATAGAATGTTCAATCTCTGTATATAATAGTTATCACTGAATTAAATGCAATGAGGAAATTAAGTTGAAAAAAATAAATATTTATTGGGTAAAATAAATGTTTTTTTTATCAATAACATGTGGAATAATTGATGTACCAACATAACAGGTTTTTACTAATTTTCGCACAATACAAGGCCCAAGATTAATTCAAGGTACAGGTTTACTGAGTGAAATCGTATTAGCGTAAGAAAGAAGCAAGAAATGAAGTCGTGAAACAAGTTCACAGTTCTCACATGGACGCTAGAAATATAGAATTGAAATAGACACACAAAGGAACCGGGAACCCAATTCTAAATAAGAAACAAGGGGTACACTACTACTTCTGTTCAATACATCGGGGAGGAGTCTGAATAGGACGACAGACGAAATTAACTACTCCTATTGGGGGAGGAAAAAAATTACAGAATGAAATTTAGGCATTTAGGAGGAGATATCAGAACTATATAGTTGAAGTAGACAGAACGGAACGGTAACCCTATTCTAAACAGGAAATAATGTATAAACCTCTACATCTTTAAAAAAAAAACGGCGAGGAGTATGAACCGGATGATAGGCGACTGTATCTACTCCTATATGGTCCTTGACGTAAATTCCAAGGCCTGGGTATGTGGGTTTGAGAGTCTTTTCTAAGGAGAGGAAGGAAGCCGGGGATCCAGAGGTCAGTGGAGGGGATAGACGAGTCAAGGTTGGTCTCACAGAGAGCCAGCATATCCGGGCAGTTCGCAATGAGGAAAGATATTACGCTGCAGAAATTGGTTCTAATGCCACGGATGGTAGAAAATGAAATGTTTTTGTTACATCAGCGGCATTAGTGCCAATTTCTGGAGTATAGATTTAAACCAGGAAGGAGTGTGAATCGGTCGCCATGCAAAAATCCATACACTCATTCGCGGGCGGCGGGGAAATAATTAGTGAATAAAATTTCGGCGTTGAGGCGGAGACACCAGAATCACAAACCAGAAGCAGAACTTAGAAGGAACTGGAAATACAATTCCTCGCAGGAAAAAGTAAATAAGTGGTAACAAAATTTACGTTATGCCTTAGGGTAGAGTTAGTTGTGAAACTGTCAGTATGATATTATCTATTAAGTTTTAACGTAATACAACTTCAAATATACTCTATCAAAACGATATCGAGCAAGTAATTAATATTATCTGAATTCTTAATGCTTTTTATCAGTAACTGACTCACACTCTTTTAGCTGATTCGTGCGTCATACCATATAACCAGCAAGAAATCGACTTCGGTAAATGCAAATAGCTGGGGACAATTTTTTTTATATATGATTTTATGAGATGAAGATCAAATGTAGATCAGATATGGGTAGGAATCAGACAAGATGATAAAATGAAATAAAGAACAAAGTAGAAAACCTTTATTAAGGCTTCGTCAGAAATCGAGAATAGAAATGTAAAAGCCCAGAGATAGAGTACTGGAATGTTATGATTTTGGGTAGTTCTCATTGGTCAGACACACGTCACGTGTATAGACGCAATAGATAATATATAAATATGTGCGTGGAACATTTAGGATGTTAAAGTGTGTGATAGTGTAAGAGTGTGAAAGTAAAGAAACACTTGTGTGTGTTGGTGTATGTAGGATGGTAACGTTAATTCATGTGAATGTTTAAGTGTGTGTGAGAGAAGTCTACAAAATTTCACCCTCGTATTTTGTCAGTGAAATATAGCGATATGTTGCAAAATAATTTTGTATTTGGTTGGATTCTTTTATTCAAGTGTATGTGTGTGTGGGAAAAGTTTGTGGTCTTCAACTATGTGTGGGTTGGGGAAACGAAGATATTGTAATAATCTAGTTTTGGTTAGATTTAACATGCGTAATTTTGAAAAAAAGGGGACATTTTTAAAATTTTCATTATTTTAGACATAAGTTAGATTCATGAATAATGCATTTGTAGAAAACTGGTGTTACGTTTTAAAACAGTGTTCATAGTTGATAATAATGTTATGAATATATTTTCAAAATATTTTCTTAAAAGGTTATGTTCTTTCTTTTTAATTAGGCTGGCATTAGTGAAATTAAAATTATGTCCCACGTCGTTTCGATGCAAGACGAGGGAGTGAGAATGTATGTCTAAACGCAAATCTCTCTTGTGTTCATGGATCAGGTTTTTTAGATCACGTGATGTCTCCCCATCCCCACGTAAATGTTTTTGCACTGTAGACACTATCTGATAAATTCCGGAATTTGAAATGGTGTTTGCTTTATTTCTCTAACTCATTATATCCCCGATTGTCTTGGAAGTGCTGGTAACTATCCTGGTGTTAGGGATAGCAAATAAATGGCTACGAATTTTGCATAATTTTGGGGAATATCTGTTTTTTGCCTGTATGTATTTTGTGAGATCATTTAGCGTTGAGGATGAAATGGTGTGGGCAGCGGAGAAGTTTGAATGCTTTCTCAATATATTTCTCTTCTATATTTAAGTATACAGGGCTACATATTTTAAGAGCTCTAAGATAAAATCCTATGATTAGTTCAAATTTTATTCTCTGGTTATCCTGGGAATAGAAATTGATTAAGTCGTTTTTGTTTGTGGGTTTTCAGTAAACTTTAAAATCTAATTCATCATTGTTGCGTATTAATAAGATATCGAGGAAAGGTAAGAAAGTTGTTTGTATCAAGTTCCTGTGTGAATTCGATGGTGGATTCTACCTTTTGATTTTTTATTTAATAGATTTGTATCTTGAGGAAAATGAACGTCATCTATGTATTTCAGGTAAGTAGAGATGTTAGTTAAGATATGTTTTATCGGGGCGGATTCTAAGAATTCTCGAAAGACGCACCCCCACTGATAGGTGACCCCGTGGGTAAATCGAATGATTATTTGTAGAAAATGTTATTGAAAGAATGATAACAGTGGTTAGTTATAAATTTGCATATTTTAATAATGGTGTAGACAGGTAGAGGAAGCTTTTCCTGGATTTTTAAGCTGATTTATTAATATATTAAGACAGGTGATAGTTATATTGGTATATAATGATTTGATGGCTAAACTCGCGAAAGACGTTAGTCATATCTATGTTACGTATTCTTTGGAGTAAGTCACCCGAGTGTTTGATGTATGTTGAGCAGATGATACCTAGGAAAGAGGTTAGGATTCTTGTGATGGCTCTAGCTATCTTATGGGGGTGCACTATCAATTCCGGACAGAATGGGTTTGATGGGTGTGATAGGTTTATGAGTCTTGAGTAAGCCATGTATTGTGGATATAGTGATTTAATATGATTTTATATTTTAAAAAATGTTTAATATACACATATCGTTTTAAAAAAAGCATGAAATCTATTTATTGCGATTTAATCTCTGAAGAATCTTATGAAATAATTGAAATCTACGGAGAAATCTTTCATCATTTTAGTCATCGCAATTGGAAAA